AATACTGCCCCTGAAATCACCCCTACTGCCCCAACGACCAACAATCCTGCCCCTAAAATCACCCCTACTGCCCAGACAACAATCATTACTGCCCCTACAATCACCACCACTGCCCCAACAACAAACAATATTGAAATCACCCCTACTGCCCCAAGAACCAACATTACTGCCCTCGCAATCACCACTACTACTCCTGTAACATTTACTGCCCTAACAACCGCCACTACAACCACAGCCACGACAATGATATCTATGACTTCTACCCCTACAACCACCATTGCCAGCCCCACTACCACCATTACAGCTCCTGCGACCACCGCTACTCCCCTGAGAGCTGCCACCAATGTCTCTATGCTGGGGGCCATCTCAGTCCAGTGCAGGGTTACTGCAATCACCCTGACAGTTACCAAGGATTTTCTCCTGAGCAACAAGATCAGGGAGCACACTCTATACTTGGGATTGCCGGAATGTGGCGTCAATGGAGGCAACGCCACCCACGCCCAGCTGACTGTGGCCTGGAATGAGTGTGGTACCAGTCTCGTGCATGTGAGTTTTGTAAAAGTGATGTGTTTGGGACGCTTTTGCATTTTCCTGCGTTCTCACACATTGCATAGACACTATGCTTGCCAGTATTTGGCCTGTAAAACTGAATTGCGTTAACTCTGTAAATGACCCACACTGCTTGCGTCATCTGGTATTTTAGAATGAAACATACTACACAGCATCTGTAACCCTGTTCAACACCATGGAAATGTACACGTCAGACAGCGGGAAAGTGGAGGTACCCAGAATACGGCTGGAGGCTCCCATCCTGTGTACCTACATGAAGAGCACTCTCATCTCTGCTGACTTTGGCTCCATGGGGTACCAACATGCTGTCTTTATTACTTAGCATGCTTTATGCATTTTTCTAAATAGCCTCAGAGCATCTGAAACCATTTTTATTTGCTCTCTTGCCATGAGTTAGATGATACCACTCTTTTAAGCTTAACTTAAAGACTGGGATCAGGGGAAAACAGCTAGCCTGGTTCTGTTCGAAGGAAACAAATTCTGCTGATCAGCACCTCTAAAGGTCACTAAGTAACCAGTAGCTCACCAGTAACATCCTTGGATCCAGATAGACAGCAACTTTTCATTTTTATACTTGGGTTTTTGCATAGATTAAACAACGTTACAACATGTTAATTAGTGAGCTTTAGGTGCTGGTAGGCTGTGTGTTTCTGTTGTATTTATGGCTATATATATATATTTTTTTTTTTCTCACCCATCTTTAGGTATGACATGATCGGAGATTTCATAACGGGCTCGGGGTCGTTCCAGGTGACAGTGCAGCTGATGAACGGTACAATGCCTCTACCCAACAACCACAGCTTGTCCTCTGACGAGGCTGTGGTGGTGGAGGTCAGCCTCAACTCCTCTTCAGAGCAGATTAAAGTAGTCATCAACAAATGCTGGGCCACTCCCACTCAAAACCCTGCAGACGCCTACAGCCTCACCTTCCTGGAGAACAGGTCTGCTTCCACCTACAGCACTGCCACTATTTCTATTGCTATTAGTATTTGAGCCGACTAATTCATGTACTTTCCCCCCTCACAGCTATTAGTTATGATCTTACTATAACTAGTACTGCTGCCGTTACTTCACAGTATCTCTACCTTGGACAGTTAGGCCTATATATTGAGGTATAAGTAAGATATTTGTTCTTTGCTGTTATCACCAGAAACAACTCTGTCATCCTGAGATAATGACAAAATAAACCTGTAATCTCCAGGTAATGGGATAAAAGGGAAATATTGCTACCGAGGCTGTTCTCAGCTTCCGTAGGTTTTATATAAAGGCACATCATTTATTTATTTTAAGTAAACTCAAATTAATTCTTAGTTGTAAATAATTATAATTATTCACTATTGTTATTCATCCTTGCTAAAAGTTAGATGACAAAATCGATACCACTCTCAAACTGTTTCAATATGAAGCTACAACCAGCCACCTGTTAGCTTAGCATAGCACAGAGACTGGAAGCAGGAGGAGACAGCTAGCCTTAGTCTTAAGCTAGCACAGTGCGCCTACCTGCAACTTTACTTTGTTTAAGCCATACAAACAGTGACTTCCTGGAGGAAGTTGCAGCACATAACCCATTTTTACACTTTGGTTTTTGTGCGCATTAAACAAACGAGATACAAGACATTCGATTTTTTTGTGCCTTTAGTGCTTTTAGGCAGATTTGGTCACTGGAAGCAGTGTTTCCAGTCTTTATGCTAAGCTAACTCTCCTGGCTGTAGCTTCATCTTCAACAAACATACATGAGAGTGGTATTGACCTTCTCATCAAACTGACGACAAGAAAGCGAATATGTGTATCTCCTAAAATGTTGAACTATTAACACCCTTCAGCACTGAATTCATGTCTTTCTTATATACTTTTGCATATTTGTAGCTACTATTTACGCAGCAACGGATGATTGTTTTCGGATTCTCATTTCCCAGTCTTATCAGACACAATGCATATCAGATGCAGACAAAGACAGTTTGTTCGTCGCTGTCCTCCACAGCTGTTCCCTGAACACATACACCAAGGTGTTGATGAACGGCAACTCTAGCACAGCACGCGTGTCTGTGAAGATTTTCTCCATCGTCGACCTGGATGTGATCTATCTGCACTGCCTGGTCCAGATCTGTGTGGAGATTGGATCAGATACCTGTGTGCCTGTGAGTGCAACCTATTATAAAAAAATGACTTGCAACCTTACAGCTTCTTTAGCAAATAACTAATACCCAACTGTGACTGAAGCATTTGGTTGAAAGGTTGTTGAAGAAGAGATTAGAATGTTCTCCTTTGTCTTTGCTCATGTTTTCTTGCAGGACTGTCTGCAAAGAACAGTTCGGTCTTCAAAAACGATTGGAACAGCTGTTGGTTCTTCCGGGTCTCTGCTGCAGTCATATGACGGTGAGTCCTTGTACACAGAATAACATCTACCTTTCACTCTTCTGTGATGCGGGGTTCTGTTAGAAAGGAAGTATTTGTCAGCTGCATGCCTCTGCTGTGTTTAAAAGTGAGCCAAAAGATGGGATTTAACCATCTTAACCATTACCTCACCGACGATCAAGATCTTCAGTATCCATTATAAACTTGAGTGTCTCTTCATTTTGAAATTCGAATGGGCCAATCTGTTGTATTACGGCAGCAGCGCTGCTGTCTCTATCATCAGTGAGGTGCAGAGGCCAGTTTAAGTGTCCGTGATAGAAAACACACATTTCAAAAGCCCTGAAGTAGATTAAGTATCCTAATTTGGACTCATGGGTTGATTTGAACATTTCAGCTTTTTGGAAATGTGCTGAACGGAAGAGTTTGTTGTAAGAGCCAGTGCTTATGAACGTCACAGTATTTCAAATAGTCTCTGTCATTTTGTTGATTAAGTGGGGATTTCTTTTTTCCTTTTCAATGTATGTTTACTGATTTGTAATTCTTCGACATATATTCTTGCAGAGTCCTTGGAGGAGGGATTTACCACTCTCTATATAGTCGGCCTCTCCTGTCTTGGAATCGGCCTGACGCTCTTCTTCATCATTTTTTTCGTCTGCATTTTCTACTTCCAAAGGAACCGCATTGGACACTACAACTTCAGCATCAAACCCAAGCAGGAGAACTTCACCTACCTTGTCTTTAACACCTGAAGGTGCAGCAGCACCCACAACCAAAATTTCAGAATTAGCAGATTTAGTAGGTCAGTACAGCACAGCTGCCACTGGGTGGAGCTGTTGCACCATTCACATATTAGCTCTGATGCAACATTGCAAGTCTTTGCACATTAAACAGTGAACGGAATACAGATTATTTATATTTTACGCCCCCTAAACATATATTTAAGATGTTTAAATGGTAGAGTAGTTGCATCCTGAAATGTCATATATATATATAGAATATAAATATTTCATGAATATTTCACATTAAAGAATACATATGTGTGACTTTCTACGCATTTTAAAAGGTAAAAGTTTCTTGAGCGTTCACAGAAGCAAGAGACATGATGGTACTAGATGGAAAATATAAATTCAGATTCATAAACTGTAATGTAATGATTGCACTAAACTAGAGTGTGTTGCTTATCTTTTGTCTAAATAATCATGTTCATGTTTAATACTCAAGCACAGTCATCACTTTATTGTCTTTTAGCTGCTACTTTTCTACATTTACACATATTGTATTTGTACTGCTTGTTACACATCTGAAATATTCATTGTGTACCAGCTCTTCTCTTGTGCTGTAAGCGGTGTAACAATAAACTCGAGTCCTGTATGAAAGTAGACACTTGGGGGTGCTTCTGTCAGTTTTTCAGCTCTGTAAAAACAAGGCAAGATGGCCTCCCGCATGCATAGAGACAACATGTATACACTGTTTATAGAGGACAACATAAGGTATGAGATAATACAAGGACAGACAACATTATTCATCTTTAATCAGATCAGGGCTTGAGAAAAATGATCTCAGCCGAACAGAGCTGAAGAGGAGGGCCCAGCTTCACCCCTCCTGCACATCCCATAATCCCACATTGTTGACTACAGGGTCATAAATGCACCTCTTGGTTCGACGGCAAGGGACTGAATACTAAACAACAGAGGCTTTCTCTTTTGAGAGGAGGTCCTTGGAGACCTGCGGAGAAGGGGGCCTACACTACCATCTGGAGGGCTGCAAATGCCCCGCCTCCTAATTAACCCATTCAGCCTCACCGTCTGAGACCTGGCAACCCGTCGCTATGGCAACAGCCCAGTGCAAGGATGGATTGAGGGAGGGAGGGAGGGAGGGAGGGAGGGAGAGCAACTGCGATCAAAGGGGAGAAAAAGATGTCCATTTAAAAAGCGTGAACTGTGCTTTTATTCTTGATTTGATACAACTGCAGGATTCAGACGTTGATCTTTCTGGGCTTCAACTTGACATCTCTGCTGCCTCTTTTAGTGAGTGTTTTGCAGTTCATCTACTGTGGATGGCCTTGATTGCACTGGATTGTAAAAACAGCAATGTGCAGGTGTTACTAGCAACAATCTAACATCGTTAGATACGCAAAACAAGTGTTTAGGGAGGGATATTCCCAAATACACAGATGAGGCCTCGGTGATGAAAAGAGTTTTTTTCCCACTCTGTACGTCTATAATCCAGGAAGCAGCAGAGCCACAATCCTCGTAATGGCCCTGCAACATGATCCGTGTCTCCACAGTCCTTCCTCTCTCCTCCCTCCCTCCCTCCCTCCCTCCCGTCTCTCTCTGGTGGTGCAGGTCAGAGCGGCTCGGAGACACTCAGTCGTTCATCGGGCTTCGTGCCCTGCTTTCTCTCACACAGGTCGTTACTCATTAAACATCCTCATTGTGGTTTTACAGAGCAGCTCATCACCTCTGCACTGTAATGAAATGGCAACTGTGAGCAGTGCGATTGCGCTTGTTTCTGGAGACTGTTATGAAATCTCAGTCGCCTGCTATGTGACTTTTGCTCATCAACTGATCTTGATATTTCAGTGGTGGAATGTAACTAATTACATTTAACACTTGTACTTTAATTTAGTGTTTCCTTTTCATGCCACTTCACACACTTCTACTCTACTTTTCACTCCTCTAGATTTATATGACCGCTGTTAGTGTGCCAAGATTGTTCATACAAACTGTATGATGGGAAAGTGTTTTTATTGATTTGAATAACATGCAGTTTACAAAGTAGTTCAAATGAACACTTTATTTTACAGGCGCTGTTATTTTCTATGATAATAGAAAAGAACCTTCCTGGAAATATCTGTGTAATCGAGTGCAAATTATAGATATATATACGCGTAGACAGTTATTTGTGTTTATTAAGTTATGTTTGGCAGATTAATCTCCATGAAGGTACGAGTGACTATAAGACTGACACCAGCAGTTCATGGGAACTAATTATAATAAAGTTATTGTTTCCATTTGTCCTGTAATTGGTCCCAAATTTATTCTTTTTCGTTACAGGAAGTTATGAAATCTATAAATAAAGTGTTACCAAATTGGCTAAGCCTCCATCTACAAAAGTGAAATGCTACTCATACATGAATGTATTCAGCAGTAATCTACTAGCATATAATAGTATCATATAACACTCATTGGGTACTTTGTCTGTATTGACAAATTTTACTTTTACACATTTTCAAAGTGGGACTTTTAGTTGTACTCGAGTATTTTTACAGTGTGGTATTGCTTGTTTTACTTAAAGTCAATAATATGAATACTTCCTCCACTGGGTGAGATCTAAAGTACTGTACATGAGGATTGCTTTCTCGTTGTATCTGGAATCACATTAATGGTTACATAAATGCTGTACAGAGCTTTCCCCGGTCTTTCTCTTACTAACAACAAGTACAAACAAGGTAAGAGGACAGAAGGCCGAGCAGCTGCTTTGAGCTTTTGGTTCAGAGAAGCTGTTTCCTTGTCACAGTCCATGCTGCTCCTCATTAGACTGGCTTTGCTTCATTACTGCTGTTAGCTTCATGGCGAACTGTAAATGACAATTTATCTGATTATGCTCACGCCCCCTCACATAGACGCACAGCAAACACAATGAGCACACGCAGCGTGGTTGAGCTTCGGATCGTCACAGCTTGCATTGATGCTGAAGCTTTCTGGAATTTGTGTAATTGTGATTGGAGAGAGTGTTGTCTACAACTAGCACTGGGAGGAGGGGAGGTCACCCTCAATCTGTCAGTGCTAATCAGCAAGTCAGCCATCTTGCTGTAGTTCTCAAAGAGGACTATCCAAAGAGAGAGGACCATCTTTTCCACCTCATGTTTCTTAATCTCGCTCTGCTCCGCTGGACTATAGGCCATCAATGAAATATGAGGATCTGCATTAATGAGGTACAAGCTTGCCAAAGATGCAGCTAGTGATTTTTAAAGAAAGTATCGGTAATTCATCGACCTTTGTCTTTTGTTGTTGTCTTGGAGTGCAGACAGGAGTGCTTGATAACAGCTTCTGTCCTAGTTTCTGTCCAGCATACATATGTCTGAACCGGCTGAGTTGCTGTGCTGTTTGAACTTGAGGGGGTTGGGTATCGAACCTCCATACGTTATTATGGTGATGACTTAAATGTGTCCGTAGCCCAGTATCAGAACTGAGAGCTGGCTTTGAGCGTCTGGTCGGAATTATAATGTTGTTTGTGAGATACTTCCTGATTTTAAATCTAAAATATTGCCAATTTTTGGCCAGTTCTTGTGTGGCTGCTGGTGTTTAGAGCACTATTAAAGATCCATCTATTAAAGAGGTGTTTTAAAATAGTACAACTAACACTGTCGGACTCACAGTGGACAGTTTAGAGCAAAAAGAGCAAAGAACGACATTGAGGGTTTTCACCACGAAAGAGATGTTTTCCTACTTTCCCGACTCACTTTGACAAGAGTTTGATTGACAGATGGTTCATCCAATCACCTGCCATGTTTTTGACAGCGCCTGCCCTTTCCAATGACGGCTTCTCACATGGTTCTTTGTAAAAAAAAACTGTCTGCCGGGTCAGGTTAGTTTTTTTGAAGCAATTCATCCGACCACAAAAGGCTTTATCACACGTCTCTCACATACACACCTGCAACAGACTTTAATGTAAAATCGGGTGAGTTCCCTTAAGCCATATAAGAATCCTGTGTTCTGAGAAATCATTTATGGTTTTCCCATTTTCAGTGTATGTGCACTGGATGTTTCCACATCACACTCATGTAAGTGGCATACTGGATCGCTTCCAAACTGGTTGTGATGTCACAAAATCCTGCTGGTACATATGTTAAATGCAGATTAAATATGAGCTCAGAGACACTTTCCCAGTTCAGCAAATGAATGTATAATAAACTGTGCACATATATAATTCTGCACATTGAAGCTCAAACATTCAAGTGAAGGAACAATAAGCCAAACACATTTTTAAGTGGAGGTGGACTTTCAAAAATTGTTGTTGTTTCTTTACATTAAAGGGAAAAAAAGTATAATTTTGGAAAACTGGCACTGTTATTGCATTTTTTTCAAATGCAAAGCCCTCAGTTCATCATCATGTTTCCATCCCACAGTATTCCCCTCATGTTACGCACTTAAACTTAATGGGCCACGTGTCACATTGCATCCACATTAGGAGCCCTGTGCCTTTTCTTCACACCATTCAGACAGCCTGTTTGTGAGTCACTGACCATACAACAAAAACTACAATACAGTGTTGTAATGTGCAAGTTACTAGTATTTATTTACACTAAAACCGATCAATGTACAGCACAGTTTCTGTTGTAATTGTTGTCGAAGCACTTTATGGTGTGGTATTTCTAATGATGGTGACATATTCTTTTAAAATAAATTGCATGAAACCAGAAAATGATGTAGCACCTTTGGAATAATGCCATGGGTCAAACAGCTGTGACCTTAAGAGATGTCTCAAACATGCGTGTTTCAAATGCCTCTTGGATAGCTAAGTTTTTTTTGGGGGGTGGGGGGTGGAAGGGGGGATTTAACCTCTTGTCTTAATCCAACTTAGTTGCAAATACTAGTTATCTACAGTACAGAGCATCAGTCTGTATAAGGTGTATCTGCATCCATCCTCACTGCAGAGCTACTCAGTCTGGCTGCCATCTAGGGAAAAGCGTACGACTCCGCTGCTCCTCCGAGGCTCGGGTCTCTCCAGCGGTGGTGGTGCTGGTGGTGGTTCTCCTCCAGCAGCACCCTGGGTATGATGATGACCGGGTCGGAGAACCTCGTCCTTAGCATCTCTAGGAGGCAGCACATAGGTTAAGACAGCAGAGGAGAAGGAGACACAAAGAGACACATGATGAGGCATTTCTCCAGGGGCGAGCAACAACAAGTCATTGGGCCGAGCACCCTGTGACCGCTCATCTCAGACGAGAACACCAGGCTTCGGTTTGAGGGCCGAGAGCTCAGCACGAGACAAAGAGACGACATCGCCATGGGGGCCTGTTTGCTTATCCCAAATATATTACAGAAAAGCTCTTGATAGAATCAAGTGACTCAACTTTGATACTTAACAAGACGATACAAGCCAGTGTTTTGTGGGGATTCACATGTGAATGAAAGCTTCTTGTCTATTTCTAATGATGCATTTGGAAAGCTTTGCTTTTAGATCTTTGGTTTAAATCTATACTTGGACCCATTCAGTAAGTCACTGTGACGTTATGAACTACAGGATGCCAATAGTGCAATGAGGGTCTCGGGGTGTTCTGTGACAGAATATCTACAAGATGCAATACACATTAGCAGCCGTGAAGATCATTAACATGCACTTACAATGTCCTTTTGACCTGTGTGCTTCCAAAGCTTGCCTCATTCCACTCATACTTACCCCATGTCTTATATCCAAGCCAACACGCAAAGTCTAGACCGAATTCTTTAAACGCAACATCGGATTGCAGGTTCCAACAGAAAACAGAGGCAGCATGCTTCAGAGACGAAAGAAAACCATCGCAGTGCAATACACAGTAGGACACGTCTGCCCGGGGATGGCAGGCTGAGATGCAAAGTGCGACGGTTTCAAACGTGTGAGTGATCTGCCTCATAAATGGATGAAATAGTGATCTCCACTAGTAATAGCGCCATAATTATACAGGCATGCAGTTTGTTTTAAAGGGCCAGTGTGTAGGATCTGGCGTCATCTAGCGGGGAGGTTGCAGGTTGCAACCGACTGAACATTCTTCCAAGTGCCAGAAACATGGCGGCCGGCTCCGTGAAGAAGACCCGCGGCTAATAAGCTAATGAAAACACTTATTCCGATTCTTATTTTCAGGTGATTATACACTTATTGGGGCGACTGTGGCTCACTGGCTTAAGAGGGTTGTCTGGTAACTGCAGGGTCAACGGTTTGATCCTCGACTGGGACGTGTCACGTGTTGAAGTGTCCCTGAGCAAGACACTGAACCCCCAGCTCCCCGGGCGCCTGTCATTGGCAGCCCACCCATCCTTATATACAGGGATGGGTCAAATGCAGAGGTCAAATTTCGTGTATATGACAATAAAAAGGGTTTCTTATATATAGTTAATAATACAGTGATCAAACACTTAAATGTATCCTTTTTCCTTTTTTATTTTAAAACTAGGTGTGCTCCCGCTAATTAAAGTTGTATTAGTTTATTACTTTACTCCCATGATACTTTGTCTCGCTGTAACTCGTGCTGCGTGCACATTGAAATCATGACGGGGAAAAAGAAAACGTCCTTATCTCTCGCTGAAAAAACGAATGCTCACAGGAAAAGCACCTGTGGTTGAAGTCGCCCCCTTCTGGGCCAGTGGATTAATAATTATAATTAATAAGTGGATTGATAAGGCCTGGTCAATCACGTGATGCCCCCAAAGTGAAACTCTGACAATCCTCAACCGGTTCTGCGCCACTACGGCAAAAAACACACGCTTATAGTGAATAATTTCACCCTGACAGACGTGATCACTGTAAGGGGGGTCAACCGCATTACATACTGTATACTCCGTCTCTGCCGATAGAAGCCCCTACATGATACACACTGGCCCTTTAACGTCTAAGGATGGGTGATGTTTGGACGAAACCTAGGGCCTCCTTAAGAACAGGCACCTTAAGGAACCTTACATGTAGGATGTGACAGCCCCCCCCCCTACTCTAGTGTCCTTATGGAAGAGAAATATACAGAAGGGCTGTGACCGGAGGAGTGGACCGGAGGGAATGCGGTGAAACAAAAAGAAACTGTGCGACTGTAATAGGAAACAAAAAAATCAAATCACAACTCCATGAGCATGTATGAATGGGAATGAGTTGCATTTGCGGCTCGCAGTCGATTTCCCTTTCGTTGCTCTCACGATTGATTACCTTGGATCGGGCAGCGCACAGCCCCACAGGTGTTGCTTTAGAGTCTGCACCCAGCCAATATCTCGGATTGGCTGGCAGAGCTGTATGTAGTGGTACTGTTTTAGCACAACCCTTCAAATGAATCAGAATGTCACTCATTAGCACACGACAAATTGGACACAGTATGAAGAAAGAACAATATGATCTCAGTAAACGTAATATCACACATTTGTGTTTGTTTTTTGCATCATTTGTACATTAACTGGGAGCCTAAGAAGCACATGACATCTTATTCTGGAATGAGTTTCTGGACGTCCTTTTACGCGCATGTTGCTCTACAAGTCGGGCGAGTTCTTGGAATATATTAAGAGACACGATGCAAAAAATAATATATTCTCCAGTTCTCACACGCGGGCAACATGCGGGGCCATGCGGAGGGGACGTCAGAGCTCATGCCAGAATGTGGAGCAGTCTTGGATAAGCATAGAAAGAAGTTGTGAGAGCAAGAAATTATCTTCCATGTGGATGCATTTAATGTCGTCTGTGTCACAAAGACAAAGACGGGGACAGGAGACACGCCGACAGATACCTGCAACCGCTAGTCTTTTCCTTTTAAGAAATAAAAGCAAGAAGACACTGCGTTTTCTGCTTTTTTTTGCATTTATTTGTAATGTTTCATTAAATATGAGCAAGCAGATAGAAACACAAGCACGTCACAGTCATTATTATTATTATTTTGGGCCCAAGACATAACTTTCTTCACCATACTTTCTATCCTTATTTCCCTAATAGTCACAAAGATATAGCACAGGGTGTGTGGTGTGCTAACAACTTTATACATTGACCGCCCCTACAAGCCCCCCACCTCCCTTGTGGTACATGACAAAGCACCCCCCCCCCGACCAAAGGCTGCAAAATGCTAATGAGTGGTCCCTGATGGGGCAGCTTGGATAGACATGGTGGTGGAGATGGTCGCTGTCAGACACCACAGGATGTAGAGATGGTGCAGTTGTCCACTCACAATGGAGGGAAGGATGCTGAGAAGCAGAACTAATGAGAGCAATGAGGTGTGTGTGTGTGTGTGTGTGTGTGGGTGGGGGGGGACTGTACAGTGCTCTTCTAATCCAAAAACAAAGAAAACAGTGATCTCTCTATCTATGCTAAGTGAAAACAGCTTTGGACTGAGTGCTGACTCAGCCAACATGTAGCCCTGCTATAATATACTGCATATTTACACAAGAGAGGTTATAATTAGTCTCAACAGATAAACACTTATGGCACAACTTACTTCCTGTCCCACTTTATCTTCAACCAGAATTTATGATTTGGTTTTGGTGTGTTTTGCATGAAACATCTGACACTCAACACGTTTCAATAAATAAACTGAACCTCATCAAACCAACATACTTTTCATGCTTTTGGAATTTGGTCAAAACAAGAACATGGATCCAGAACATTGGAGTCACACGTATCACATCATTGAGCCCTTATTGGGGCTGTATTAAAATAAAAGATGGTGTTAATAACAGATACAACTTATTATGTGTACATGAAACTGGGATAAAACTTCTTATCCCTGTAGACAAATGGCAGTGAATTGTTCACGACTTATTCGGAACGTGGATCTGAGCTTCATCCATACGGCTCCCTCTTTAAAGGTTATGTGAAAAGCACTATTAAGCAGTAATATGAGCTGTTTGCCATCGTCCCATGGCAGGCTGATCATATTGGTTACGGTCACCCTCGGCAGAGCGCACTTACAGAAAAGAAAAAAGGGCCACGCTGCTGCAATTGTGTAACAGCTGCGAAGCCTTGCAGAGGGATCAGTCTGAGGGAATAAGGCTGAATTCAGCCCTCTCTGTTTCCCAGAAACATTGTTAGTCTTCTGCTAAATGTCATCATGACTGCACGACAACTTATCATCTAATTCGTTGGGGAAATGCTCATCTGCCGTTGAGATGGCTGGTGTTTAAAGCGTAATCAGTTTAGTGTGACCCAGATGCTTCCTTGGCAACAAATTGGGTGTAAACAAACCTAAAATGCCGCTGTATGAATGAGCCTCGCATGAAAGGAGCAAATGCTGAATGGGATGAACAATTTCACGTAGCCTTCGACAGAGTTCAGTTCACAGTGAGACAGTACAAAATCACATTAACAGAGCGTTGCATGATGTTGCCCAACACGTCCTTTGAGCCCTGTGAGCTCTGCTGTGAGCAGAGAAGGTAGCAGGTACAAAACAAGCCGCGGATCAGACACTCGTGACTAACCGAGTGGCACGTTTATCAAAGATCTTCAGAGTTGTTGTTAATTTAGCAAGCGTAGAAATCATATCCAAAGTGCCAATTCGATTATCTTTTCTCCCAACAAACAAGAGTAGGTGGGGCGGGGAAACATCTTTGATAAACTCAACAAAGCAATCTGCTCAGCTGATCAAAGCCAAGCCTTCAGAGTTGCGTGTCGTGGACCCATGCAACGAGACATCCATTGCCTAGCCAGGCAGCCTGTAGCCATGGCAACCTGGAGATGGAGGCGAGCAGAGCGGAGGGGGAGGCGGGGGGGGGGGCATCAAATGGCGGAGGAAGAGGATGCAGCCGCCCACTCGTTACTATAGCGATATAACATAGCGGGAGGTGGGAGGAGCGAGGACATGTCATCTCTAAAAACCCCGACATCTTGTTATCATTGTACAAACGTAGCCAGGAGGTAGTGAGAGAGGACAGAGAGGAAGAATGAGTGGATACTGAACAGAGGAGAGGAGAGAGAGAGACTGGAGGGGAGAAAGAAGGAGTGATGATGAGAACCGTAATTCATTTTGCAGCCTCTGTGTGTGTTGTTTCCCCCAAAAGAATAAGGAATAAAAGGAGAAGTAGTGCTAAATGATGTTTACTCTTTTGCCTCAGCCAGTTTGTTGTTCATCTCTTTACTTTTCTCCTTGTCCCCCACCGCCGGCCGGTTCTCCAGCTGGTTCTCCGAGGCCGTCTTCTTGGAGCCCCTCAGCGCGGCGCTCTGCTTATCTCTGGCTTTCTTGGCTGGCTTGCCCTGGCCGGCCGCGGCGGCGGCTCCAGGCTTTTTGGGTTTCGTGCGAAGGGCACTGTACCTGTCAACCTAAGGAGGTCAGATAGCACAAATGAGATTCCTGAGCTGTAATGCTCCATTTGTGGCTAGTCATGTCTAAAACTGTGCTGTGCAGTGAGATGAGCATGTGAGGAATTTCCTACTACAGTAATATAAAGCCTTTCTTTTGATCTCTCCCCTCCTTAACTGATTTTAAACCCTACTACAAAGTCAAAAAGGCGTGTTCTCACCTGTTTGATGGGGTCTATGTAAGGCTCGCTGTACAAACTGCGTATCCTCCTCCTGTCCAGGGCCTTGTTGTCCTGTCTATTAGGCCTCAGCGGGGCTTGGCCCTTGTATGTGGCACTGTAGCTGGTCTCTAGGCTGGTCTTCTCATCCGGTGGCAGGTACTGGGACCTGGCCCGGATCATCTTTGCCGGCTTCACATCTCCGTAAGCCTTGTACTCAGTTCTGTGGGGAAAGAAGGGAGTCAGGTATAAGTAAATGGACCGTGTGGTAGAGCTTAAAACCCCATCAATAAGGATTATCAATGAAGAGTCATGACAGTGAACGGGTCCGAGTGACAAGCTAATTCATTTCAGTTAACGCTCCCAAAACTAAAAGTGTTCAGGACCTATAGCTAGGATACTTTTTTGTTCAGAGATTGATAACGCTCTCATGTTTGTAGGATAAATATGAAGCTACAGCCACAAGACGGTTAGCTTAGCATCAAGACTGGAAACAGATAGCCTGGCTACATCCAAAGAAACTCCAGTCTAGTCTCAGCCGGTTGCCTGGCAACTTTAAGGTGACACAAGACATCAAGAACTCTCTGCACCCGGCCAAGAAATAGTCCAGTTTAATCAACACAAGCAAGATATGACATGGTAATTAGTGAGCTTTGGATCTGCTACCCCCGCTTCCATTTTCTTTATGCTAAGCTAAGCAGCTAGCCTAGCTTCATATTTAGGGTACAGGCATAAGAGTGGTTTCCATCTTCTCATCTACCTCTTGGTAGGAAAGCAAATATGTATATTTCTTAAAAAGTCAAATTAGACCTCCAACGCAAATACAGACGAATCTGTTTGCTTTTAAACATTTCCCCCGTGTCCCAATCACTCTTAAGCTGGTCCATTTGACCGTTTCAATATTTTGTTGTATATCATTTTTGACTGATGACTGTGGTATAATTATACCCATGCAAATCTGATAATTTTGGGTCTCTGGTGTGTATATATATACTGCTGTAATTTGAAAGGAAAACCGTCTTTATTGGAGCGTCATCAAAGAAAATCTCCCTAAAAATAGATATCACATTCATTGCAGACAGCGTGACACCAATGTTGTAGTCCGCGTCTGCAGAAGAGGTGTGAAGTGAAGTAGTGCATTGCTGCTGGAGAGCGGAGTGTGTCGGAGGTACGGTAGGTGGGAGGAGCTTAGCACCACCGCCTCATGGTGTGGTTTTCTGTCGTCCTCACACAGCACTTCTGAAGAAGGTCAGCAGTACAGCAGAGCTCTCCATCAGTGACTCTGCTCACATTTATACACCTATGGACGGGTGTACCACAGAGGACAACCAGGTGCATATTAAAGTCCTTTACTTTAGGACATCACACTGCATGTCTCTCTCTCTCCTTTACGTTGTGTTTTCTCTGTGACTCATTCAAATATCTCATTATTGATGCTGATCATCTCCTTAATTACTGTATTCATTGTTTGTTCCATGAAAATAGAAAGAAAATGCCTCACAGAAGACACACCTACATGATGGATCGGTTAGTTATCACAATCATTTTTCTATCTATCAATCGACCTGGTATTGTTGTAAAAGAAGAAATCTACTGTAATTCACCTTACAAACATTCATTATTATTATTATGCTGCGGTGCAGATTTCAGTGCTGCTTCACCGAAGTCACAGGAAGGTTCACCGACGGGGCTACTAGGGCAGTCGACATCAGGTTGTTGCATCTCTCCTGGATACATTTCAAGCAACCTTAAGGTGCTTTTCAACGTCTCCATCGGCAGAAAAGCATCACATTTTCATCATCGCGTTTGAGACATTGCTTGCACCTGTAATCTTCAGGTCTCCATGGCATCAGAAGAGGAGTCTTTGACTTTGACACAGGGGATGCTTTAGACAACTAAAACTAGATTAGAAACAAAATAATCTAAACCTGATATAAGAGGAGTGAGCTTGTAGTGTATCTGTATATCTGGTAATGACTATTGGCTTTTTATGAACCATGGATTTATTTCTCTTTTACAGGTGGAAACAAAAGCAAAAACATTTGCTCTTAGGTTTTTCTCTAAAGAAAATGAAACAATGGAAAATGTCAGCGTGTAACTCAAATTATAGTAAATTAAAATAGTTCAAATTGCTATTAATGTTAAAAAAAGGGAGGATATGTGTTCCTCTGCACATCGCAAAAGTTGGCTCGAGTGTCCTCATTTGTAACATAAAAATTGTTTATCTGCTTCCCCTGCAATTTGACACCGTGATGCTGGGGCTAATTACAAAGGACAACAGATAGCTCTGTGTTTTGGGCCAGTCAGATGACATATCGGGTCTCCCCTGTGGCTCCAGTGCAGTCCCAAACATAACATTTCCCTAACGCGGCGCGAGCGCTCAGAGCCACGCAGTTGTAGCCAAGGTTCAGTGAAAGGTCTCCGATCCCGAGGCAACATCAGCAGAGCAGACGATGCCAGGCTGCTGCACGAGAGCCTCATTAGGACAAAGAGTAAGGAAGTCATCTGGAAAGATACCACATATCAATAACTGGCATCTACGGAAATACACCTCGGAGACTGTGTGTTCCTGTTCAATGCAATTACCGTTCAGGGACAGTTGTATTGATTGGACATCTTTACTGTACACAAGCAGGAAATTCATTATAGTAATTACTCAAGTATATCATTCAACCTTTGTGAAACTGTGTTAACGGTATGCCAATAAAGACAGCTGACATTTACAAATCATAATCGATGTTCAATTAAAGATTGACATGCTTAAACTCGAGACATCTCATCTTCATAACTATATAATTAGTTCCCATTAATCTAAACACAAATCAGCTATCAGGCGCTAACATTTAAGCTGTGTATAAACACAACCGAGGCTTAAAGAGTCGTTTTATCATATTGTGAAAAGCAAACTATTTATGATACGAAGGCTGGTGACAGTGAACCCCGAGGAGAGGAGGAAGTTACACAGAGAGCCGTTACATAACCGGACTGAAGTCCATTTTCAATGCTCGGCTGGGCCAAGAAGCCACAAAGACAGGTTATACAACAGGGTCCAAGGCCAAGAGTCTAAAGCACTCACATCGTGTGTGTGTGTGTGAGAGAACGACAGAGAAAGAGGCAGATTGTGTGTGCAGACAGGTTCCACAGTGTGAAACACCGGTCTGTATTGTAACATTGCTGCCATTCATGGACATATAACTGTGTAACAATAAAGCCTGTGTCTCTGAGGTCAGACTGTACTTGGTACTTATTTAAAAACGAGTGTTAAAAAAGCTTGCTTGGTTCAGCAGGCGTCATGTCACAGCTACTGTCACATTCGTAACGGGCAGATTACTGCGCAACACGCAAAACCAGCAGTTCACTGAGACTGACACCGAAGTACGAAGCATCCCTTTGTGTCAGGAAGCAAAAAGCTCACTGTTAAAAAACGAATTATTTTCATGTCATAGTAGGTGTTAGACCAAGTGCTTGTCATAAAAAGACACGCCTTACACCTCACACTACTCTCGTTAAGTACACCCAGCTCCTTTCAGGATGTCACAGTGTTTTAGCTACGACTAGCCACTCAATGACTTGCTCTGTCGTTTGACAAAAACTTCCCCAACAGGCAGCAACCTCCGGTTCTGCCGAGTGAAGCTGATGCGGAAGTGTCTTAAAACCAGTGGTGTATAGTAACGAAGTAGAAATACTTCGTTACTGTACTTAAGTCGTTTTTTTGGATATCTGTACTTTACTTTACTACTTATATTTCTGTTGACTTTTACTTTTACTTCACTACATTTTGCAAAGGAAACTGATACTTTTACTCCGATACATTTCCCCTGAAACCTTCGTTACTCGCTACAAAATCAAATCTATCTTTAGAAACAAATGAATCATGAGACCAGCGTCGGGGACTGTCGTGGAACAGAGACTGCAAGCAAGCAGGTTTGGTGAATCAGTGGTCCTAGCTTGCAAGTTAAATCATTGGTTAATCACGTTAATGCGCAAAACAAGTGCTCTCAAAGCCGCGGTGTTTAGATTCCCAGTGATGCCCAGGATGCTATATGCTATAGCTAGCGAGCGACTACACGAGTATAATTCCACTCTACGATGACTGATTTCATGATGGAAGCAGAAATGGAAGCACCTGCTACTCCCGCAACACACGACGGTGGTGACGAAGACCAACACCCGTGGATCGCTAGCGAGTTAGTGAGCTGAGGAAGTGTTGACAGTTGTGAGATTTTGTTGATTTGAGTCATCTTAGCTATAATCATTGCAGCACTAGTTGGCTAACGTTAGCTAACTTAACGTTAGCTAGCCACCACACCATAGGATTGACAGGAGCCGCGAGAGCGCAGCATTAGTGTTAGCATTAGGGGAAATCCTTCCCAGCTGTGCGCAAGCTGTCTGTGAAGCTGAACACACCTCTACCTGCCTCAGCGGCATGTGAAAGGCTATTTAGCATCGCAGGACTAGTCTTCAGCCCAAGACGAGCGAGACTGAATGCTCGCAATTTTGAAAACCAACTTCTTTTGAAGATGAACAGGACATTTTTCAGTTTCCAGTAATGACTGGGTTGTTACTTTCGGTGCTGCTTTAGTATTGATCATGTTTTGATATTTGAGTCATTTTGTGGATGATCAGATGGAGTTATGATGGTAGCAGATTCAGCTTGAGCAAAACCTTTGCCTATTGTGTTCAAATCAGGCCCACAGGAGTTTACAAGGCAGGTGTCCTTTCTCACAACACTGACCTGATGCATCAAGTGGATGTTTTTTGTTGAACACAATATGATGCCTTTGCCCTCTACATCCTCTAGTCGGAATGAGCATACTTATAAACGCACTGTTACAACTCCTTCATAGTGTCATATTGCTTTTCGGAGAATTATGATGATAAGTTCATAGTAGATGCAAAAGTATACTTATGTACAATATATTATGTTGAACATTGTTGCTCCTGGATGGATCACAGCCAACCCAATTATTTTCAACACAGCTCCATGTCCTTGGTGATGGTGCCACAGCACTTAAAAGAATAAACTTCATAATTCTCAAAATTCTGACCCTTTGCTTTTTTATTAACAGCATTTACTTGTACTTTTACTTTCAATACTTAAGTACATTTAATATCAGAAAATTACTTTTGATACTTAAGTACAATAAATATCAGATACTTTGTAAGACTTTTACTCAAGTAGTATTCTAATAGGTGACTTTTACTTTTACTGGAGTCATTTTC